GGACAGTTGCCAAGGTTTTTCTGGCTGCCTTCTGTTTAGTGTTAATCACTTTACAAAGAATAATATAAACTGCGATTTTAGGAGGACCAAGCCTGGGAATATATTTCCTTCCCTAGGAAGCTGCCCATCTTTTTCTAGGCCTCAAATCCCCCCTCACCAGGTGAGATCAGCACCTCTCCTGAGCCCTAAGAACCTCTGGATTCTCCATGCTGCAGAGACTGTAGAAGAAACGAGTTGTGTGGTTTGTTCCTTTTTGGGTGATTCCAACCCAACTACATGAACAATCCCACTGCAGCTGTGTACGCAGCTGATTTCCTTATACAGCTGAAGTGTAAGCGAGACTAAGAAATCTTTAGAACACTGCAAATTTGCTGAATTTCAAAGCACAGAGATAGACTAGTTAAGACAACTTGGCTAGACCTTACAATTTCACTTCCCTTGCTGCTGCTAGTTTCATGTTGGTCTTGCAGAAAAGTTGTGCATTTACGTATTGTAGACCTCCCAAAACATCTCAAGCCAGCAGAGGATATTATTATGGAAATGCTTATTCTTATGATAGTAATGCAAGTACTCATATACCTAGAGGTCAATGATGGTTGGGAGAGCTTTTTACAGTTAGTTAAATTGCACCTCAGGGTTTCACTTGAACTGAGAGTAAATTTTGTGTGAAGTCATCCCTGACACCTGAGGCCTGAGGTTCCAGCAGCACAAAGACTTGCAGGTGTGCCAAATGTTTGCAGCTTAGCTAAGTGGTCCGGGCATCAGGAACAGCGAGTTAAAGACTAGGTATCCTTAGAAGGATTGCTCACGTGTTTAGCATTCATAGACAAGTCCTTACAGAACTGGAAGGAGAATGGTTTCAGAACACAATGGGATGATGATCCTGCTTATCTTGTCATATTTACAGCATTGCTTGGTCTGTTTCAGATGTTTGTGGCCCTTCTCTTCTGGTACCAGTTTTACTGCGGGTTCTCTGGCTCATCGATGGTTGATCAGTGGTATCTCATCTTCTTTAATTTACTCTTCTCTTCTCTTCCACAACTGATTACTGGTGTGCTGGATAAGGACGTGCCAGCTGAAGTGCTAATTACTGTACCTCAGCTTTATAAAAGCGGACAGAATATGGAGGTAAAAACTTCTTGCTTTTTGTAATTTTTTTCCTACACATCTTTAGTTTCAGCTGAAAACCAACCCTGCTCCCGAAGGGTGGATGACTGATAAAAACAGTCTGAGAAGTCACTATTATTATTTCGTGATATTTCTCATCTGAGTCAAAGTATTAAATGCCAAAAGTACATTTATAACAAACAACAAAAAAACCCCACCCAGCTGTATTTTGAACTATGTAACAGGAGAGAAGCTGAATGCTTTAAGTCAGCCTAAGCTGAACTCCTCCCTCATGGTCCAGGCTCACAAATAACCACAAAAGTAAAGCAGATTATACCTTGTCGACTAGTGCAGACTTTCACAGAATAACCTCATAGTATGTACTCAAAACTTCAGGTCCCAGCCCTTTACAAACAGGCAGAGGAGAAAGATGGCTTTAGGAGTAAGCATGGAGGTTGATAGACTTGGACTTTGAGGGAGATAGTCACCAGCAGATGACAGATTCAGCTGAAATGTCTATTGAAGACACCTTGTCCCCATCTGCTTGAATTGTACAATGAAAACAGAAGGAATTGCAGGAGGGATTCGAGCCAAACCATTTCTGGTAATTACACCTACCGTGTACTGTGGGAAAATCTTTCTGCTTGGCAAAACTATCCATATTGAGACATTGCTTCCAAGGCAAAGGCCTCTCTTAAAAGTATTTGACATTGTGCCCTCTGAGAGGAGACAGTGAGTGGGTTTTGCCTCTAACTGTGCACCCTGCATTTGGTACCCCACACATCTAGTGACGTTGCTAGACACTGTCCTGTAAAGACGAAAGGAGAATTTTAGTGCAACTTATTTTTAGTGCTTTAGTCCAAATTCTCTCTTTTTCACCCAGCTGTTTTTTTCCATTTTGCTGTATTTCTTCTGTTCCACTTTAAAGATCTGTAACATTAATGCCTTCCTTTCTTGCACATTTTTAAGGTGGTAATAACCTTGTAATGGCTTAAGCTGATTGGGAAATTGTCTGCCTGTCTTCAGCTAGCAAACTGAGGAGAGAAGTCTCCTGGGTTTGCAGCTCAATTATTTCTCATAGGCAAGCCCAGGAACCATTCTAAGTTTGTTTGAAATCTAGTGAGCGTATTCTCTGAATAGTTACCTAAAAAGGCATTTTAAAAACTTGCCAAAAATCCTGCTTCAGGTAGGATCTCTTTCAAAAAGGTATCACCGATTCAAAGCCTACAGAATTATAGAATAATTTAGATGGCTCTGGCGGCCATCTGATCCAGATGCCTGGTCAAAACAGCTTCAAAGCTAGATGAGGTTACTCAAGTCTTTATCTAGTCCAGTTTTGAATGTCTCCAACAGTGGAGATTCTACAGTCCCTCTGAGCAACCTGTTCCAGTGCTTAACCACATGTTTTTTCAGTAGGCCAAAGAACACCATAATTCTTTCTAAGCAGCTTTCAATTCCCATTTTTAGGCTGCAGTGATATTCTCCATTGAGGGAAGGAGCCCTGATGAACCCAGTGGTTGGAGATATAGCCTCTATCCCAAAATTAAATAAATATTTTGCCATTTACAAACTCTTTTTCATTATATCTAGGTCTTTTATATGACCATCCATACCCCTGCAGTTGTATATTTCTTTAAAACAAAATGTTAGCTTAATGTTGTTTCTTAGCAAGCAATTTTGTGCACACACACAGAGATATATGTGTGTGTATATATATGTTTTATATACGTATTTATATCATAGCATACATTGCTGCATGAATTACTGCTAAATGTCATTGTCGTGGATCTTCTTTTCTAAGTATGTGTGCATTTTCTGTTTTCTCTCTTGCAAATAACTACCCTGTGCTTGTATGTACATAATGTAAAACCCATTTACTCATGTACTTACACCTCAGATTGCTCCTCCTGAAATCAGTGGTCTAACTGTAGTGCACAAAGTCGGGCACCTTCACAAATGTTTGCTGACCTGAGTGTCAGATTCAAATTACACCCTCTGCCAGGAAAAAAAAAAAAGCAGCAGAAGTGTCCTCCCAGAACAGAGTGACTTGCAAGTGGACTCTTCATACTTTGTCCCCGAGGGTATCTAACTGATGGGCAAAGCTGTGAAGCTATTTGCAAAAGCCCTTAAAAGTGCCCATTGGAATATCCCCCTCAAAATACCTATCCCAGCAAATAGCATTTTCATTAGGCTCTGATTTCCTTGATTTTTTTTTTTTATGCCACAGGAGTACCAACCACACATGTTTTGGATGAACATGATTGATGCTATGTATCAAAGCCTGGTTTGCTTCTTCATCCCCTATTTCGTAAGTGTTTAGTTAAAAGCCATTCTATTTCAAGCATTTTGAAGAGAACTGGCAGCTTCGGCTAAATTCGGTCTCCTTCTTTACAGACTTACTATGATTCGGATGTGGATATCTTCTCCTGGGGAACTCCCATCACCACAATAGCTCTTTTCACCATCATGCTACATTTGGCTATTGAAACCAAAACTTGGGTAAGGTACCCACAGCCTACAGAGAAACTTGTTGGTATACGCATAATTCTTTTCTTAGTGCCATTCTTCAAAATCAGAAGATGGTTGTTTCGTTTCCTCAGCACATTCTATATTTAGCAAGCATTTTAAGCAAACATGAAAAAGGTTTTAAACTGTGATCTGCTAACAGCTTTGTAGTGTTGTATCTATAATAAGAATTTTTGAAAATACAAGGCTCCAAACTCTTTCCCATGCATGGATTTGGCTCAAGAAATTTAGAAGTTTTAATTCAGAATCACAACAAATTTCTCAGAATATAAAGAGTCATTATTCTTTTGTTGGTTTTCTGTTTTAGACTTTTCTCCACTGGTCATCTTGCATCTTCAGTATCCTTTTATTTTTCTTTGTGGCTCTGGTTTATAATGCTTCCTGCCCAGTATGCCATCCTCCATCCAATCCCTACTGGACTATGGAAAGGCTGATGGGAGACCCTATGTTCTATTTCACTTGCATTATATCACCAGTCGTTGCATTGCTGCCCAGGTATTGTATCTTCTCTCATGTCTTTTCTCATATATGAAAGCGCTTTATGCCTATGGCTGGGAGGGCAAGAAGCATTTTTTTTTTCCACTCCCCTGTTTTCTTTTTGCCTTACCAGCCAAGTCAATTTTTTTTCAGCAGCTAATTATATGAAGTCAGGTTGCCTAACCTCTTCTGTGCTCCTGACCACAGGAACAGGCCACAGGTCCTGGCCATAGACCACAGGAGAGGGATGATTGTAGACTGTGGGTCAAACCTCATGGCCATGCAGATATTTGCTACCCTGTGAGGTTTTCTGCGATGCTTCCAGATTCAACCCATCCTCCCATAGCATGCATAGTACAGAAATTCTGATAGTGTATTGTGGACTTACTTGCCTATTACGGATGTAAGAGGCCTGCTCTGCAGATTGATTCCCGTTGCCTTTGATTGCTCATCAGGAAGAATGAAAGACCATGTGTAACCACAAGGTGGATCACTGGCTAAAGCTGCAGATCTATTAAGCTGCTTGTTATTAATCAAAATATTAGCACAGCATTCAGAGCTTTTCCTCTGCAAGCTTTCTTGTGTCAAACATAAGGCAGGCACATAAACCTCTCTTATTTTTGTGTTGTACTTTTGTCTTGGATATTTTCTCTTAATAATATCTTGGCTACTTCCTTCTTTCAGTTCTTTTCACGTGCACATTCTCCTCTTGCAGATTTCTGTACAGAACCCTTCAGGGAACACTATTCCCAACCCAGCTGCAGCTTGGACGCCAGTTGAGTAAACTATCCCCACAGAGTCGCACCCAGCTTCTGACCAAGTTGAATGTAAAGGAAACAATACGTCAGACACAATCCTTTGCAGACAGCTTCTCACCAAGCCTTGGCTCAAATGCTAGTGATTGCTATAAGGCTTGTAACCAAAGCACACCTTTGCCAACATCTCCTCAGACAAGTGAGTCACTTTTCCAAGAGCACCCAAAGGCAGAACATACAACGGATCAGACAGTGGCTGCCTCTCCTGAGGGTGCTGTGCTGTATGGGGAAAACAAACTCCCCTCATCAGCAAGTAGTCTGGAAAGGTCCACAGGATTTCATGAAGTCAGACACGGCACTTCAGAGATGGAGTCGTTGCCTGTGGGAGCAACATTCACATGGAGCTCAGCAGTCGACCAAGCAGACTTCAGTTTGTTGAAGTGGATCACATCAACTCCGCTGTTCAGTCGCATTGGGACTGTTTTACAGGTGTCATCCAGCAGTTTACAAAATGAAACACAGGACAGTATGTGTGTGCTTGGCTCTTCTTTGCATGTGGACTTCAAAGGCTTAAAAGAACAGAGCTCAAATAACTTGCAGGACAAAATGAAAGGGACCCCAGCTGATTATTGTAAAAATGACAATTCTGAGACCACCTTTTTATGACATGGGCTTTAAATATATTTATATATTTTCTATTTGCACACATTTATAGTGAGATTACTCTATTTGTTTCCAAAGATGAAACAGAAAATCAAAGGTACAGAATGATTATTTAAGAATGTTTAAATACAGTATATTGAAATAAGAGCTTTAAATATAAAAAGAAACACTTGAAATTTCCATGTATATTGTTTTATTTTTTCATCTCATTTTGTAAGGAAATGCTGTCTCTTTGTTTTTCAGATGCTTCTCTTTTATTCTGACACATACTGTAAAAGTAAAGGACCTATGCCATATTCAAAAGGATTAGATTCAGCAACAATTATTGATATCATTCTGGCCATTCAGTAATCAAGGAGGAAGAACCATGATAATAAATAGGCACTGTATTCCATCCATCATCTGCTTGCCAGGGTGTTTTGTCACTGGAGCAAACCATTAGGCAAGACTATCGAATTATTATACACGTCTCTGTAAATGTTAACAGTATCTTACCACCGCATTAATAATACTGGTATTTTATAAGTGACACCATATTTTGATGTTGCAGCCTTAGCATTTTATGTGTCATGATAAAATAAATAAATGACCATCCATATTGCAAAGCGAATTCCCAGTCTGGCATTAATAGTAAATCAGCCCTTCACTTGGAGCAGCTAGCATTTGGCTGTTCATGGCCTTCTATCAGGCTGTTCAACTTCTGAAGAAAAGCTGCTGCTTGTTTGTGAGGAATGATTTGGTGGCAAAGAGCTGGTGCATGGTGTCCACTATAGAGTTTGACCTAGGAGGGTCTGTGATCTTCCGTGCTGAAGCACTACCGCGCGTAGGCTGGTTTTGCTGAAGGAGGCAGTCCTGCTTGCTAGCGAGTCATGGAGGGCAGGCAGGGTGGAGTTTTGTTAGGCACCTTCACCGTTGTTTCAGCCAGGTTAAATCAAGTCCGTGGTGATCAAGAAGGGGTATGACCAGCTGCGAGGGTGCAATGCCATGCAGAGGTACTTGAGCCCGCTCTAAGACAGGCTAGCTCCAGTCCAGAAAGTAGGGAGCTGCACTGCTTTCTGGGGTTATGCCTGAGCCGACCTTACATGGTTGCACACCACAAACTGCCTCGGGTACATGAACATGTGGCTGCGCTGTGCCAGCCGCATGGATCCCGGGGGGTTTAGCCTTGGAAGGCTGCTTGGATCTTTCATACCTAGTCACCATGACCGTGTATGAAGTAGCTGCTGCACTTCTTCATTTCCTCATCACAAGTTTTCAGATGGCCTTTACCTTGCTTGCCATCACTTGTGTAAGGCCAGAACTTGTTCATGCCACGCTCTGTGCCAGGCGACCTGCCTCCCGCATCGATTGCCTCAGCCCATTAAGCCACAGTGCCCGCCATTGTGACACTTGCTAATCCACTCGGGATCTTTTTTTTCAAGATTTATACACTGGCCTCTTTCCCAAAGGCAGAATTGATAATATGAAACTGTAAAATGCCAATGAAAGGAAGAGAAGAAAGCGATCTAAATAAGAGCTGTCACCCTGTAAATACGTTACCCTCATGAAACATGACACGTCTACATGTAACTAAACTGCATTTGGGGATTAGAATTGACTAGGGACAGGGCAAAGACGCAAAGGGACTCACTCTTTCAGTCTCCTGTGAACAGCTTTAAGCATGCGATAAAAAAAAAGTGTGCCTGAAGCACAATTTCTTTCTTTTAGCCTCTAGTTAAAGAGGAGCATGGGTTTATGTGTGTAGATTTTAGGGGAAGAAAGCACACCTATTGACTCATTTGTTACTGGCTGAACACATCTTGACGTTTCCCTGCTTTGTATTAATTATGATAGAAAAGGGGCAGTAAGTGAGCACTTGGTTTCCACGAAGGTAGGAGGGTATCTATCTGCGCTGTCGGTGCCAACGCAAAACAGGAGCCACGGGGGTGTGTGTCCTGACACACGCCTCTAAAGCAAGGCAGAGTCCCACACCCTCAGAGCACTTGTTGGTTTTTGCTCTCTGGAAAGGGAGCCTGCGGGACTCAGCTCAGGTGGAGAAACCTCCTTTGCAAGTGTTTCTAGTTGGGTGAGACAGCTCTGAGTTTAGACATCTCTACTTTCTCTACCAGCCTTCTCAGTCTCTGTTGGGATGACTTTGCAGGTAATTTTTTGCAAGGTCAGCTGGCTGTATTTAACACAAACTGTGCAGAGATTGCCGTTGTAAATAACTCACCTGTGTGGAGCTGCAGTGTCTTTTAATGTCAAAGGGGAAATCGGATGACACTTTGAAATGTGTAAATGTTGCCATCTGGTTAGAAATATTCCTCTGCTTGTAAAACAGGATCTCGCAGGACACAGTATCAGATACCAGGTAGGCAGAGTTCATAGGTTTGCAAGACCTTAAATTCAGTCTGAGAGTGTCGTGGAGTCATAGCAGGAGCTTCCCATGGATGTCATGCATGTGTGCTCGCTCTCAGTTACTGCAGCAGCCCCAGCAGGCAGGTGGGGATCGCTTGCACTCACTGACTCCTCTGCATCTTTCCACAACGTGTTTGGTGTCCTGCAGGCATTCATGAGATGTGTCCAGTGCTGGCAGCAGAAAGGGCTGGAACATCACTGGGCTTCGTCTCAGAGCTGTATTTGGTGATACGCTCATCAAAAAGAACCTAAATTCCTTACTAGCCATGCCTTTGTGATGCAAGATTCGGTTTAGTTGTTGTGCTTTCAGTGTTTCAAAGACTGTTTTTCTAGGTAAGGGATAAAAGTGTTCCTTTGGGACTGAGAGATACACATGCGCTGCCAGATAGTTGTGTTAAGTTGCTACTGTGAGGGTGAGAGTAGGACATCTGTTTCATATATTTAGGGAAACTCACCATGACTGTAGTTCTAGATCCTCAAACTGCTACAACGATCGTAGCTCCTTCAATTTCTTCAAGCTGACTTACCCCAGCTGGGAATCAGGCCTCAACAGCTGCTGTATTTTGTTGCAAAAAAAAATCCTTTCCGATACATTTTGAAATGCATAAAGTATAAATGCTCCCTTCATACTAAAGGATAACATACCTTATTATGGCAGCAATCCTGCAAACATGTATGAGTTTAATCTTAAATAAACCAAGTAATCCCACTGACCTTAATGGAGCAGTGACCTCAGCAGGATTGATTGCATGCTCTCGGGTAGATAGGAAGATGTGCCACACTGAGGCCTCCGTGTGCCAAAACGAGATACCCAGGGGCACAGAACCAGGTCAGTAGGATGTCAGTAAGCAAGATGTCTCCGTTTCCATCTGGGAGATAAAATTGTAAAAAATATAAATAAAATGTAATTTAAACCACAGTTCGGAGAAAAAAGCCTAAACAGATTTCACATTCGGAAATAAAATATTAAGCTAACTAATTCTTTTCATTTCAAAATAGAAGTTCTCTCTTCAGCTGCCAGAAGACAAACACATCAAAGCATGTTACTTGCTGGGCTTTAGGGCTTGTCAACACTTTGAAGCTGCTATTAATATTTGAAACATTTTAACTAAACAAATACTAATGGCTTTTTGAATCTGTATACATTGATTTCAATAAAATAGAAATAAACTTCTAAAGTTATTCTTGTTGCTGCAGTTGAGCAGTTGTCATATCAAGGAAAACAAAGCTTTAAATTCATGAGGCCAATGCTCAAAAAGCATGCAACTGTTTATTAAAAGATTCCACAAGGCAATTAAAACAATGCCCGGTTTCAGTCTATTACCAACAACAGCCCCCTGTACACTCTTTCAAATATTTGCACTGAACTCTGCAAGCACTTCTGCATCTGCTCAACATTGCCAGCTGAAGTACTCCAGCTGAAATTACTGACTGAGAAGAGAGTTGTGAATTAAGCATCACAGCATTCCATATTTCTTACTCTTATTTATGGGAACTGACTTCCCAGTGACTTATCTATTTTATAAATTTCTCTTGGATGCATAAAGGTCTTTCAGAAACAGCCAGAACTCTTCTATCAGGTTAGCACTCTAATCTCAGAAATTGTATCTCCCATATATGCCAGCGCATTGGAACTGGGCATACAAATGTCAAAACAGGAACAAAACAACACTCCGGTATTTTCTCCAAGATTTTCTAGCTATACATCACTGTTCTGTGTGCTCAGACAGTCATGCACCTGTTTGACAATCTCTTGCGCCGGCTGTGGAACCCCTGATGGCCATTAAATGATCTTTTATGCTTTTCATAAACTGGAAAGTTGATGACAGTGCTGACTTCTCACTATGGCAAAATCCAGTGGCACCCTGTATTGATTTAAGTGCTTCCTTGATGGGGAGAGCACATCCTTTACCTAGTAAAATTTCCTCAGACTCTTTCAAATTATTCAACCAGAGACTGCTCTTGCTTCCATTATCCAGTTTTCTCAACTACCTTGCATTGAACCTTGACTTGTCATTTATTCACACCCAATCCTGCCTAGGGCCACAGCCTGTGCTTGCTCCCAGTACGTCTCCTGCAGACTCTGCCCACTTAATCAACGAGTGCCACTACGTTTCGTTTTGGGCCAGCTTTCTAATGTCATGCTCACATTTGGCTCTGCTCCAGGCTTATACATCCCAAACATTGTAGGCTGATCACCCGATTGGCGTACAGCAGATATGGAGGATTTGGGGAGGTTTAGCCATTAAGGGTGCTACATAGAAGGGTTTTGCACAAATACCAGTTGCAGTATGTGGGGTTGTTCAGCTTAAAAAAATAAACTCCATCAGAACTGCATGTGGTTGAATCATCTGGGAGTGACAATTCCTGTCCTAATCATAAAATCTGCATCAAAACCTAAACTTAAAAGAAAAGAAAGCCTTGTGTTTTTGCAGCAGCTAGTTCTTGATTCAGACTGATCAGTGCCTTGGGCATTTTTCAGTCCCATATTACATTCAGCAGTGTGCTTTTGTAACAGAGTGCACGTGGCAGTTCAGAAAAAATGATGCTGATACAATAGGCCGTGCACTGTGATGGAGTGGTAGCAGGTATGTGTCAAAGACACTGTGAAGGCCGCTAGAGACAGGGTTATGCAGATGTAGCAAAGTGGGGAAGGAAAGGCACTGCTAGATGCCACTTGGAAGGTAGATGGAGAGACAAGGGGACCTTCAGAGCTTTCCAACCACTTTGGTTTTGCAAAGTGGTTCTGCACATCTCCCTCTCTGCCTGCTGGCAGGCTTACTTGTACCGACCTTACACTTCACTAGAGCTACACAACGACTGAATTTGGCTTGTCTGCAGCCAAGCACAGCTAACAGGGACTGATGCCCAGCTGACGTCAAGCAACGCAGCTGTGCTGACTCACATGGAGGTAGGTTGGCACTCGCTTTGCAAACACGAGTATGCTGGCTATGTGCCAGTCCCTAGCCAGTACCTGTGACCATGGCAGGTCCCAGTACCAGTCCCCGGGATCCTCCCTGTGTCAAAAACCAGGGCAGGAGCCAGAACAGGGGACAATCCCATGTCCTCCCATGCACATGGGACTGCTCATTAGACTGAGACCGCACATTTGTTTGCAGTGTCCAGGACAACTTCGGGCTGTTAGTGACATGGAAGACAAGCAACAGGTAACATGGCATGGAAATTCTTCCTGTTCGTCAAGAATCCC